ATATATCAGCTGTTCAAGATGCTGACTGCTGATTCCCTTGGTGGAGTGTCCGCTGTGGGGGATGGGACTGTACCGCTTCCTTCCCCGTCTAAACTCCCGTACTCCAGTAGTTGTCTTTTTCATAGGGTGCAATAAGTTCTGTTTCACCAGGTCATATCCATACCAGCCACTCAAGGGAGGAGAGCTGAGGCCCTGGGACAGCAGCAGAGGGGAGTAGGTTGGTGCTCTATTGTATATCTGTCTTTGTTTTTATCATTATCTAACTGAACCTAAAAACTGGAAAGCTGATGCAGACAAATAAAACAAATGTTGCTGATAAGAAAACTCTTCCTGGGCTGGGGATGTGGCTCAAGTGGTAGCGCACTTGCCTGGCATGTGTGCGGCCTGGGTTCGATCCTCAGCACCACATACAAAGAAAGATATTGTGTCCGCCGATAACTAAAAAATAAATATTAAAAAATTCTCTCTCTCTCTCCCTCTCTCTCTCTCACTCTCTCTTTAAAAAAAAGAAAAGAATACTCTTCCTAATGTTTGACTTTAATTTCTTTTGTTGAGATGTAATCATATTTTTTCTGTCTTCACCATGATAGTAATAGAAAACAACTAGTAAATACCCACCTTATAAAAAACCTTTTGAATTTAGAGTCTGTCTTATCATTCCCCCCAAAAGCTAGATAACACATCAACCAATCAGCCAAACTGCAATAAAGACCCATCAAGTTGGTTTTGAAGTGATGGAGTGACACAGTCAAGCCCTAAGATAAAGAACCATCCACAAATGTGACCTGTGTGGTGCCTCCAGCTTTTCTCCCTCGGCCAACTCTCCCTTTTCCAGTCCTTGTTTATTTCCCAGAGTTCTCACAGTTGAGGTTACCCTTCCTTGGATCTGGCCCAAATCCTTCCTAAATGTCCCATGGAAGTTCATCTTGGACCTGCAGCTTTTCCTTTAACAACTAGGAAAACCATGTGTTTCTTTAAAGACCCCTCACGATCCTCTTCTCTCCCCCAAGAACAACTAGTTATTCTCTTCTGGGCTGGAACTAGGTGTACTTGGAGCTCCAGCCTCTAACACAGGGCTTGACTTGAGGATTGAAATTGCCTACATTGCATCAGTTTTTAGTTCAAGTCTGGTTATGGACTATGAATTCCAAGAAAGCAGCTGTTGTATTTCATATTTTATTTTATTTCCTATTAAATGAGTCTTCATGGACTTATTCCTACATCTCTGACTACTCCATCTTAATATCAGATAGTTCTTTACCTTAGAGAATTCTGACTCGGTGTTGGAATTCCTTCTCACCTCTCCTTGGTCCTCTTTCTTAGTGTATATCCCTCTCCCTAGGTAATTTCATCCACACCATCCATTTCAATGTCTACTTTAATGCAAATTACTCCCAAAATGTATTCCCCACCCAGAACTCTCCTTTGAGATTAGACTTAAGGATTTATCATAGGTTAGACCCAAGGATCTATGCCTCTTGAATGTCTTAAAAGTACACTAACACATCATGTTCAAAATAAACCTCAGGAACTCTCTCTCTCTCTGGTAAGAGAACTTTTGGGTACTTTCCTAGCATCCATTTCTGTGTTTCTACCAGCAGCAGTATCCTACTTTCCTTTAAGGACTTCATCTCTCCCATTCTTGGCCAAATCTGGTCTCAATCAGGTTTACCTCATCCTCATCCACAACTCCAACCTGTGCACATCATCCAGTCAGAACAAATGAGTCACAGTAATGTGCTGGCTGGGGCTCCTAGGAAGAGAAGCCTTCTGTTTCCTCTAAACATGGTGATTTGAGAATGTGATCATCTTGCTTCCATAAGTGGCTGAAATTACCCAAAGGAAGCAGAGCTGAGAGACTGACTTTGTCACATCATTTGACCCTTGGACAAGTCATACCTAAAGCCAATTGACCTTTTTTTCCAGTGTCATTAGTCAACTAATTCTTCTTTTGATTAATGCAGTTTGTGTTGGGTTTTCTATCTTCAATCATAAAGAGCTTTAGCTAAAGGATGGAGTTGTGGATCAGTGGTAAAGCACTTGCCTAGTATGTATGAGGCACTGGGTTTGATTCTCAGCACCTCATAAAAATATACATAAATAAAATAAAGACATTGTGTCCATCTATAACTAAAAAAAAAAAAAAGTTTAAAAAAAAAAAACAGAACTTCAGCTGAAACTCCCTGCCCAATATTTGGTCTTCCAGAGTTTTCAACTCAATGAAATACATCATCATCCCTCCAGCTAAAAATTCAGATACTTAGGAGTCATTCCTTCTCCCCTACTCTCCATATCCAATTTATCACCAGATCCTATTAATTAGAAGCCCTAAATATTCCTCAGATATGTATATTTCTCTTATTTTTATTGGTCCCACTCTATCCTAACTGGCTTACTGTTTGCCTGGACTAGTAAAGCCCATTCATTAACTATTCTACCCTTACCTGCCATTGTCTTCTCCAAACCATTCTCCACACTGAATCCAAAATTGTGCTTGTTAAAAACAATCATTCTGCATTCTGTCTTTTAAGATAAAGGCGAACTCTTTTACATGGTGTCTCTGTCTGGCTTCCCCTGAAACAGCACAACACAATCTTGTCTATACACAGTGTTAATTTGGTAATTGACCCTTGGGAGCCAGAGTCATGGGTTAGGGAAAGTGAGTAAAACAGAGAATGAGGGAATGAATAAGCAAGTTGACTACCATCATAAACAACTGTGATCAAACCTGTGAGGAACTTCCAAGGGACCCTGGGGAATGTACCTCAAAATGCCCACCAGGGACATCCATTGACTTTCATGCATCAGCAGTGCAGAGTTGCCCCATGGAAACTAATTCCCTGGCACTTCTGGGTTGCTCACACATGGCTGCCAGTGGTCATCTACTAGGGCTGCAGGCCTAGGCACCAGAGAAGCCCCAGGTGCACCTGGGTGAGGTCAACAGAGTTGGTGGGAGCCAACATGGCCCTGTTCACCACAGCCCGGCTAGAATTAATGAGAACAATGTACCTGCACCGTCTGACCTCTGCCTACCTCTCTGCATTCCTCTGGCTCCCCAACCTCACTCACACTAGTCCTGCACAGCCTGGATGCCTCACATCCCCACCTACCCCAGGGATTTTTGAGCATGTTGTTACTTCTGCCTGGCATGCTCTTTGCTCCCTTTTCATTCATCAGAACTCAACTTGAGCATCACTTCCTGTGGGAAGTTTTTCTTGTCCAATCACCTCATAACAGGCACTGACAGCAGTATGTACTTCCTCTTTGAAGCACATATGAACTGTGACTATTCAACTGTGTGGTCACATGAGGTCATCTGACTCCTCCTGGACAATCAGTAACACAAAATCTCCTGCAGTAGCACAATATTTGGCACATGCCAGGCATTCAGTAAGTCCTTGTTGGAAGGGTAAGCAAATTTATCTTTCTATTCCTATAAATATTTGGAATATATAGGTGCTTAAATATTTTAACATAATTAAGAAGCAGAAGTGTTATTTTCTGGAAAAATTTCATTTAGCTTGTGCTGAATTGTATTCTTTTCCTTAAATTGCTATGGTGAGGCTTCTCTTATAGGAAGCCCTGGGACAGACACTGTAATTCTTTTCTTTTTTATGTGTAATACCTGTAAACATAAACTGAATTTCTCCAGAAAGAATAGTTGATAAACAGAAAAAAGAGAAATCACCAGTGTAGACAAGAAAACTTCATTGTGAACTAAGACAGGGATGTTATCTAAAACAAATGGGTATAGGTTATTGACCACAGGAAGAGTAAAAATTCATAGGTATGTGAACAAAAAACTCCCAGAATCACTCTGAGCTCTCCTTTTCAGCCAGCACCATCAATTATGATTATTAAGTGCCTGCTCAGCTGCTGTACAGTGGAAGAGGCAGGGAGGTTTGGTAGCTAGGCAACAGGCTAAAAACTCAAAGGGTAGGAGTTGTGATTCTGGCTCCTCCATAAAAGTGATAAGTGGCCTTGGGTAAACTCCCCTGCCTTGTTTTCTTCTTCTGAAAAATAGAATCACCAGTCTACCTTTCTGTACTGAGGCAGAAAGAACAGTATACTGCAATTGTAGAAATGTGAGCTTATGGGGCCTGGGGAGTAACGAGTGCATCAGGGAACCAGCCTTCCACTCAAAACACCACATTTTTACTAGCAGTTTGAGCCTAGTATTCTGTGCCTCAGTTTATCCATCTACAATGATTTATAGCTAATGGTCAGGTCCTAACTTAAATTATAAACTTAAAGGATGGTCTTTACCTTTAAAGGATTTGGTGTGTGGGGGAATCCTTGGTAGAGGAGCCTCTGTTCCAAAGTATGCTCACCCTTGCTATCTGCCTTGTCCAAGCCTCACCAGTACTTTGTCTGTGCCACTTTTGAAATCTAGATTATCTTGTGGTTTATTAATTTGAACATCTGCCTGGCCTATGAGGTTCAAAAGAGCCAGACTATATATATATAGATCTCTAGGATCAGATAGTTTATTATGCAGAATGATGTTCAATAGATGCTTGTTGGAAGAATTAATTTTAAAAATGAGTGAATGAATGAACAGGAAAGAATGAACCAACTGACTTTCCTGAACATCAACAGGCACTTGCTTATCTTCCCACTTGGTTTCCATCTTCCTCAAATGATGACACTTGTGGACTTTGCATGAAGGCAATCACAAGGCACAAAGGAGTCTGGAAAGCCAGGAGGGAGGTAGGGGCTTCAAGTATAGAGGGAGATTAGGAAGCAAAAAAATGGAGGAGTGGAATTTCTTACAGAGACCAGGGAAATCTTATTGAGAAAAGAGCTGGGATGAAGAGTAGAACAGGAGCAGGCAATAGAGGAGAACTGTGAGAGCCTGAGTAGGGTAGGCGGTGACCCAGAACTTGTAGACACACCTGGGGCAGGGTGAAAGGGATACTGGTACACAGCAGAGTGAGGATAGGAGAACTTACTCTTTTATTTCTTCTCCAGACTATTTTTTCCACATGGATTAAAAAAAATTAATTTGGGCAAAAATAAAATAGTGGACATGAATTTTCACAGAAGCAATGTTCACAGTAGTAAAAAAGCAGAAGCAGCAGCCTTAGTGTCCATCAGTGTATGAATGAACAACACGATGTGGTCTATTTATATAGTGGAATATTTTCAGCCATAGAGAGGAATGAAATTCTGACACATGTTACAACATAGGTGAGTCTCAAAACATCATTCTTAGTGAAAGAAATCAGTCACCAATAGTTATATATGATATGATTCCATGAGAAACATCCAGAATATGTAAATGCATAGACCTAGATGGCAGACAGATATTACCAGGGATTAGGGAGACTAGGAGGGCAGTGAAGGGTAACTGTAGGGGGTTTCCTTTTATGGTGGTGGAACTTCTTTGGAACTAGATAGAGATAGGGTCCCATTGCATTACAAATGCACTACATGCCACTGAACTGCACTCTTTAAAATGGTTAGTGGTTAATGCTATGTGGATTTTACCTCAACTTTAAACAACAAGCTAGCAGGAAATACATCCATCTTGACAAACCCCATTACTGGAGCCTCCCTCCACTTTAGAAAACTAGAAGCTGCAGATAAAATGAACAAGGGCCTCAGCCAGCTTGAGGCCAAGAGCCTAGGACACATCCCTCCTGACTCTGAGGAAGAAAGCCATCCCTCATGGCTCCTGCATCTCCCTCAGCTCCCTCCTTCCCTCTCACAGGATACAGACTCCAGGAAGGCAGAGAATGGTTCTATCCTGCTTGTGCCTGTTCCCAACACCCAGCATAGTGTCTGATATGGAGGAACTGCTGGATACCCTCCAGCCCATTCTCCACACCATGGCAGACAATCTCTTCAAAGGCAGAACCATTCCCCTCAAAGAGGGAAGGACCTCTCTTTCTGCTTTAGTCCCCAATGGCTTCACATTGCTCCTAGAGTAAAGGCCAGACTTCTTGTCCAGAATCATAAGGCTGAGCATAATCTGGCTCCTCCCTGACTCACTTTCTGCCAAGGCTCCCACACACTCTTCTGACGCACGGCCTTGGCATGTGCCACCCCTTCTCACTTCAGTCTAGTTAGCACTACTCAGTCTTCAGGGACTGCTCCTCACATCTGCTCTGGCCTTGATTTTACAACAGAGCTCTCAGGGCACCTTTCCAGCTACCTAGGTGTGGCCATGACTAAGTTCTGGCCTAGCAACAAAGAGGTGTCCAGCTTCCTGACTGCCTCCTGAGAGCTGCTGCCTCCACTCCTGATTCAAAATGGCTCTCACAGAAGTAGCCTGGGAGCCAATGCTGAGGAGAGCAGAACTGCCCACTCAACCTGTTCACCTCTGGATTGCCATATGGGAAAGAAAGAACTTATACCTTATTGAAGCCACAGCAATTTAGCATATTTGTTCAAGAAATTTAGCTTGTATCCCAACTAGTCTATACCCTATCTCAACTGAATCATATCAGAGCCTTTTTTTAATCTAATGTGACTAGTCCAAATCTCCTTATTATATTTGTTCTCAAATCACCATACTACTCTTATTGCATGTATATTAACTGTGTATGAGAAAAAAGGCAGAGACAGAGGAAAAAAGAGAGAAGATTTTTAATTTTGACCTTCTCTCCTGGATTATAAGACCCTCAAAAGCAGAGGTCAATCACATCTGCCTAATTGACCAAACAAGCCCCAGGCCAGTGTCCAGTGTTACTAAATTATGTTACTTAACATATATATTGTTTAAATAATATCACCTCTTTAAATGAGGTCAAAATGGTGTATAACTAGCCTTGAAGACAAAAATAATTCTGTTGAATGGCTTTGGAGAAAACAGCATTGATCTGTGCTCTCCTGTGAGGATGAGCCCATGTGAGGTCACCAATAGCCATTAAATGTGATGACACTTTGATTGATTCTCTTTCATTACTTTTACTATTATTTAGAACAGTCCCAAATAATATAGTTATAGCCCAGCAGCATTCCTCCCTCCAAATGTAACTGTCATTCCTGTAGAGTAAGTTTCAGAAATGTTTATATATTATCAAAATTAAGTTTCAAAATGAGCTACAGTATCTGGGAAAGGAGGATAATAATATTTCACAGAAACTAATTGGAAACTTGTTTTGAAATAAAGTAGTTATTTCCATCATGGAGAGATGAAAGTACAGAGATTTCCTTTTATCTCACCCGGCCTCGTATCTTACATTATTTATTCAAACTGAAATTAAAACCTGGCCAAATCCTACTGAGGCATTGCATATCAGTGAGAGATTATTCTTCTGGAAATGAACTTTTGTTCACAAATTTCATTATGCAGTTACAAATGACTATTATTAAAATGTAACATATAAAACTAAACTGTCTTTTTTTTTTCTGGCCATGCATAAAGTTCACTTTTCAATGCACTATTTATTTCCTCTGGACTTAGCTTTATGTTCTTCCTCTGCTCATTGACAAAGCATCCAGACAATTTCACAAAACCCACTGCACTGTCCTGTTGACCTCCTGGTCATCATGCTCCTAGGCTCGGGGACCCCCTCAGTGCCCTTTTCATTACCCTATTTCTTGCTTTCCAAGGAACAAATAGCAAGGAATGTTCCCAACCTGGTGACCTTGACAACACCAAGACCATTTTCACTTTTTCTAGACTTAAACCTCAGGCAGAGATACTACCTGCGCAAAGTGCCTGGAGTATGGTGTTGACCTACTTGCAGGTTTCTGAAGTCCTAACCCTGAAGCTCTTTCTCACCTGTTGCCAGGCCTTCCATATCCTATTTACTTTGCCTGTTATGTTCTTCCTTGTTCCTTGATTGCCTAACTCCAACTTGTCCTTCAGATGTCAGCTTAGACATAACTTCCCCCAGAGAGATTTCCCTGACCTTACTCTCAGTTACTGGGTCAGGCACAGCTTGTGTTCTATGGAACCCCATGCCACTTGATATTAAAAAAAAAACAACCTCACACCCTAGTCACCTTCCAATCAGCTCAATTTAGTTTTTGCCTCCGCTTCCTTTTCATCACCATTTTATAGATTTATGTCTTGTCTGGTTGTCTATCTGCCTCTATCCATTTATCCATGGTGAAAAGTAGGAAAAGAGTAGGTTTTCCCAGGGAAACGTCAATCAGATCATTCTTGGCAGGTCGCCTAAAGACTGTCTTGCTTCACATCTTGGCTACATATAAAGTAGAAGCTAATTGCTATTGCCACCTTTGTTTTTATTACTTGCATCATTTGAGGTATGAGAGTATCAATAAGTAATATCTCTCTTCCCTTCTTAAGATCTATTAGGAAGCAAGACACAGAAGACATACAAATATAGATCAAAGCAAAGCTTTATGATTATAATTGATAAGGCTGGTGAAAGAATTCAGCTGCTGAATTGGGCATGAATCAACTTGCTAATACTCTTTCTCAATTAGACAGATTTACCCATAAGCCCCAGGCATTGCTGTGCTAATGCAGGACTCTCCCCACCCAGACAGTGGCTGCTTCTCTAAGTTTCCAATAGGTAGCATCCTAGAGACAGGACAATTCTAAGGAAAAGAGAAAGGTCTGAATTAAGTAAGTTTAATTCTTTCTCCAAACAGAGAAGGCCAAGAATATGATGCATGTTATACCAAAGGAAATCCATTATGAAAACATAAACACAGAAAATGAGGAGTCTCCATACAGCAACCAGTCTAGTTCTATTTAAGTTTCTACCAACAGCCCTAATATGTCCAAAGGTCTGATAGGCTCAGTGTTCCCTTGGTGATTTGAGTTTGTTTTTTCTTGCTATTGTGAAACAGTATTTTAGGATTCACATAAAGTGCTATGAATTCATTTGGCCTCATCCAGGATCATGATGTTTCCCCGTAAGTACTCACAATGAGCCAGAGACTAGGAGGTAGGTACACTGTTTATTCTTGGATTCTAAGATTAACAAGATGGTCCATTTTTAAAATGTTTGTTTCAAACCAGACTCAGCTAAGAGTCTTTGTAAAATTCATTTGTTCACTTTGCTGCTACCATGAGTATACTATATGTAATTTCATCTTTCTTTGATGATTCCTGGTCTTTGAGAGTTACTTTGTAATTATTTATATCCTTTCCCATTGCTGGGGGCTGGATACACAGAGAGAGAAGATACAAAGTAATAGAATTGGATTGAGTGTGTTCTAACTGTAAGAAAAACTGTGGCTCTCTGATGAGGTCAGACTGCTTAAAACACTTGTGAAAAATGAAAGGAAGACATTACAAATGATGATGCTGGTGGTAGTTAGAATGAGCACCTGCTATGTGATAGATACTATTCTAAGCCTTTTATGTATATTAAATCATCTACTTTTGAATCCTAGAAGCTGAGTGTTATATCTTTATTTTACAGATAAAGCAACTCATGTTCAGAGAGATTAACTAATTTATCTATGATCTCACTGCTGTAGGACCCAGGACAGTCAGGATTTAACCCTGAACAGTGTGATCTCAAAGCCGTCACCCAAAACCACATTCTAAAACAAGGAGAAATGTGCACAGGAGTATGGAACTGAACAAGCATAACAAAAGAATTAATCCCTCAAAAAGTTGAAGTGAAATATGCTTAATCCTTCATCCACAAGTCAGAAACACACATCTAGACACACCCATCATCCGCTGCAATCAAAAGAAAAAGACAACTGACAAAACAGACTCACTGCTTGGGGCAGATGATATAACATTAGCAAACAACAAAGAGAAAGTCATATATCTCAACTCTTGTTGTATTTCCATCTTCTTTATCAAGGAGAAAGATCTTTAAACTCAGGAGAGTTGAATAAATGTAGTTTAGAAGGAATTGAAGTATGAGATAGGTAAGGTGATAGCAGGAGACGGTCTCGCTGTTTTAAATGAGTTCAACACTCCAGGCCTAAACAAATTACATCCTAGAGTATAAGGAGACTGTGCAGATGCAATCTGAGAATCATTGTCAGTAATCTTTAAGGAATCATGGAGAACATGAAAGGTGCTGGGATAGTGGAGCTGGAAAAAGAGCATTCTAATTTTTCAACATGAGGAAGAAGATTCATTCCATGATCTACAGATCTGCAAGCTTCAGTTTGAATCCTGGTAATATCTTAAAATGATTAGATAGGTGATGTGCAGGCGATGTCCTTAGAAAAGGACACGGTGATCTCTAGAAACCAAATGGAGCCACTGGGGGAAAACAACAGAGATCCTGCATGCATTTTTGTGGCTTTGATGGCTGGCAAATTGAAGATGCCATGTGTTCAAGGAGGGAGGTGAAAGCAACCTCAGTGAGGCTCCTATGATGCCATGGGTCACCAGTGTTGATTCGGGTGAAATGGCTGAGCAAGGGGGTCCCTCTCTTTGCTTTAAGCTCTGTGAAGCACACTGCGCAGAGAGAGAACGGCCTGTGTATGGATGAGTGCATGCAACTCATGTGTATTCCCAGTTCCCCTGCACAAACTCAGATTCCATCTGAAGTTTATATTAATGAAGGCAAGCATATTAAGAGTCCCTTTATATTCTTGGTGATTTGATAAATAAGTAAGTCAGTGGTTATAAGAGAACAAATGCCTAATTGACCATTCATACTAAGAAAGCTTGATTCGTGTATCAGTGTCCTTCTGATTAGCGCACTTTTCCTTCAGAGAGTTGTATAGCTCATGTCCTCCCTCCATCAGGAATGTACCAGGGTCACTCCTTGAAGAGTGACCATACAATATAAACTAGCTCTTGTCCCCTCTCATACTACTAGTACCTTATTTTTATTTTCTATATAGTTCTTATCATTACCTGATATATATTCTGATTCTTATCACTCTCTGACATTACAGTATTTTATATATATATATATATATATAATATTATATTCACATATATATGTATATATAATACTGTATATAATACAATGTCAGATAGTGATACACACACACACACACACACACACACACACAAACACACACACATCTGTCTATTCCTCTTGCAAAGTTAACCATTTTTATGTAACTGATGTCTCTGTTACATGGTAGTCCTGCCATTTGAATGTCAGCTCCATGAAGACAAGGACTTTGCTATATTTTTCAACACTATGTCCCTAGCCACTAGAAAATTACTGAAATATAGTTATTCTCAATAAATAGTTATTGTTTGATAATATTTACCTAATTAAATGATGTCAATGGAGAATGATCTTTAGTGGTTACATAGTTCTGTCCTTGGCTTCATGCAAAATGTTAACTCTGATCCAGATAAAAAGAAAGAAAATAAAAAATTTGATTGAGTCCCTGCCCTTCTAAAAAAGAAAGCATTTATTATTGTTACCATCACCATTACTACTATGTGATTGACACTATACTAGGCTCTTACATTATTGCAAATACTCACAACAAACCAAAAAGATAGAAATTATTATCTTCTTCATTTTCAGATAAGCAAATTGGAGTTTAAATAGCTTGGGGAGTTTAAATAACTTGCCTAATATTAGGCAGTGGGTACACAATGAAGCTGGAATTAAAATCAAAGATATGTCTCACAGCAAAGTACATCTCTATTTTACAATACTATAATAACACAAAAATATGAGAAGCCTGCTTAAATTTGCAGCTGACAGAAAAACCAGTACATTAGAAAGATTTTTCAAGAATGTTACAGAATTGAATGGAAGGTCAGAATTCAAAAACATAGGTAGAAAGGTAAGATCTGGAGCTGGGGTCATAGCTCAGTGGTAGAGCACTTGCCTGGCATTTGTGAGGCACTTGGTTCGATTCTCAGCACCACATATAAATAAATAAAGGTCCAACAACAACTAAAAAAAATTTTTTTTAAAAAAAGGTAAGGTCTAATAAGAATCAAGGGCACAGGTATATTGTGGAGGGAAACAATCATTTATCTGAAATCGACTAAGAGCTACCAATAACCTCAGTGTGAACTAATGGTAAGATGTGATCAAGTGAACTGAAACAACTAAACTGCATCATCAGATTTTTAAAGGGGAGGATGTTCCAGTTTCATTCTGCAACTAGTCCAGGAAAACTAAAGGCAGAGTGATGAAAATCTTGTTGTGAATGAAAGGATTAAAAGGTTTATTAGCCTTGGCCTGGGAGAGAAAAGACTCAGAGGAGTAAAATGTTCCCCTGCATCTCTGAAGGGCTGTCACCACAAAACAGGGAGACATTCTCTGCTGCTACTGATGAGGAAGGCTATGGGAAACAGGGTTTGCCAGAGATGTGAAGCTCACTAATAACTAGCTGCCTCCAGAGTCATAAGCTCCCAATCTCTCTGGGAGACATTCCAGCAGAGGCTATGTGACAACCTGGCCCAGATGTTATCTACCCAAAGCAAATCAGGTTGACTATATGTCTTTTTCAGTTCAACTTTCTTCTGTATATGGTGATCTTACTTTCTGAACTCCAAACCAAAACCTGTGATTCTATAAGACTTATGTGTTGCTTCTGGCTTTGAAAGCCAGTCTAGCATTTGTATGAGATGTCAATTATTGAAATAATGGGGAAAATACATGAAATTGGAGCTCTCCTAGAGAAAAGAAAATGTAAAATCATGCTTGAGCGGACATCCATCTCTCTTTGAATACTCATGTTTCAACCCAGTAGGTAGAAACTCTCAGTAAGAGTTCACCAGTTTTTTTCTGGCATGGCAAGTTTTCTTGAACTTTTCCTCCAAAAGTTGAGTGCCAAAATATAATTACCTATTTCAGTTCATTTTGATTTAGAAAATAAAGCAGTCCCTGGAAAAGCTTCTTGGAGCATAATCAAGAATTTCAGGTCCTCCTACAGGAGCTATGCAACCCCTCCCTCCCCACACTGCTTCTGCCTCTGTGCACCCAGTGATGCTCTGTCCATGCAATTGATCAAGATCGAAAACTATCCTGTCCCTCCTGCCTGAACCAGAGTACCTGCCCACCACTTCTCACTTTGAGCCCTTGTACAAAAAGGTAGGTGGGACAAAGACTGATCCGTGGCCAAATCTGGACTCTCTTAATGCCCACAAGGAACAAATCAGACTGATTAAGATATTGTAATTCCAGATATGATGCATTGGGCTGGTATCAGCTGTTCCCTATTAGACACAATGTTCTTTTCAATAGACTACTTTGTTTCACACTGACAGTCATTTTTCACCCTGCATGGCAGAATTTCAAAGCCAAGAATCCTGTATTGCACAGTAAACAAACAAAATTAGACCCAAAATTGCCTTTTTTGATTTTGATATATTAATCAACTCTTCAGGAAAGGTTCTAAACATTTTCAATTACATCAAAAACAAGCTGGAAACATTTTCCAACTTAAAAAAAAAAAACACCAGTCTTAGTTAAAGGCTTGTTTTCTATTCCACTGATACTCTATATTACATATTTGCAACTATTTCTGTTTTAGGACAGATTGATTAATAGCATCAGTTCTAAAATCTCAACATGTCCAAAGGGGAAAAGAAGAATTTCCATCTGTGATCTTCATTAACCAAGAAAGAACTAACTATTTTGGTGTGCCTGCTTCTTCCTTTAGCTGCTGCAACCTTGGGTCCTTGAAGATCTCTGAGACCAAGAGGCTCATGGCTACTGTTCAGGCTGCCACTCAGTGTTCACTGGGAGTTCTCTAGAGACAAAGGCCTAAGAATGGATCAGATGAGCCAAGGAGAAAGAGAACTCTTGACACCCCAAACCCCAAGCTCCCCCTTGTATGCACATTTCTTGCCTGGGCAGAAAAACTGGCATTTGAACTAAAAAATGAAAATAGGCTAGGAGACAAAACAGGAAGCTGTATATGATCCACAAGGGATGAACAAAAGAAAATATATACTGGACAATTATGTGCTTAATAGATTAGATGATGACCAGCTAAGGAGCTTAAATCATGTCTATTGTTACCTCCTTTGAGCAGTGGAAATCACAGGAAGAATACTACCAAGACAACTGAAATGTTCACGCATCCTGCACTAAACATATTCCTTAAGAAAAGAGCTTAAGACTGCTCCTGCTGCTAATTGCTACAGGTTTTTGTAACCTTGAAAGAACTGTCTTATCTACTAGTTTAAACTAGTGAGTTATCAGGATTTATAGAATCCCTGCAGTTTGCAGGGTTTATCATGTATTAGAATGCAAAAGAATTAAAATATTGGCCTCTTTGCTCAAAAGGGGTTACTGTATGTGGTAGAAACTGGACAAAAAAAAACTTACAAAGCATATAAGAAAACTATGTGAAAACCAATGTGATCTCTCATATAAATAGATGGGGCTATATATGTCACTTCACTGGAATTTCACCCCCATTATTAAAATGAAACAGAATAAAATGCTTTCAGCTCTTGAAGGAGTTTCTTTGGAAGGACAGAGGGTGCTGGGGTTTGGAAGTGGTTTTGGTGTGTTCTCTAGGGTCCATGTCTTGGGAGCTTGGTCCCCAGTATGGTGCTGAAACGTGGTGGGACCCTTAAGAGGTAGAGCCTAGTGGGAAGTGCTTAAGTCACAGGGGGGAGTTATCACTTTACAGTTAGTGGGACCCCTGAACTCTCTTCAGAGGGAGATGTCATAAGAGCAAGCCAGTCCTTGAATCATGCTATCTTACTGTTTGTCAATGTGATCTCTCCCACATGTCATCCTTCCATCATGATTCCATCAGCCCTGAGGACCTCACCAGAGCAGAACTGATGCTGGTGTCCTGCCCTTGAATCAACAGCACCATGAGCTGAATGAACCTCTTGTCTTGAAAAAATTAACCAATGGACTAAAAGGAGTTGGCCAATTATGCCTAGCTCTGCCCTATGATTACACAGACACACACACACACACACACACACACACACACAATTTTCTTGACTCCTTAACACAAAAAAAATATAGACTAAAATTTTCAAAAAAAAAAAAGCTTTAGTATTTCACTTTATGCAAGATGCATAAAAGTGGTTAAGTTTATAGACTCCAACATGGTAGCTACATAAACCTCATGGCCCCCACAAAAATTCACATTCTTATTCCCCAAAGAAACTAGTGAGTCAACACCTATGTGAGGCTGTGGGCTTTCTGAATGCCAATAAAGACAGAATCTTTGAGCCTGTTCTAGGATTTCCCAAATGAAATGCACCTCTCCTCTCTAATATAAACTGTACTTTAATTCTTTTTTATAATGATGGGAGGAAATTTCACAATGCCAGAGAAAGATTCATAAAAAGACTCACATACTTCTTTTTATTTATCAGATGCAAGACTAAACAATATTTCAGTATTATTTATTCTGCTCCCAGTATTCTGTCTAAAGGTAGGGATTTTTAATCATCCAAGGCTGGAAGTATTCAATTAGGGAGTAAAGCAGAGAGTGAATAGGAGTTATGCCCTCCAGGAGAGTTCTGTAGAGACTGAGCTAAAGGAGAGGCCCCAGCAAGTAGACCAAGAGACTTGGGAAAGGTTTTACCTTTACATGAGCAGAAAGCCCAAAGTGACATCCAGTCACAGCTTTGTTTTGTCTTAAATGACAGGCATACCTGGGGAAAAGTGCTGGCAAGCAGGTGTTCTAAACCAACAGCTGTAAGCTGGTAAATCTTAGCTTTAGGTAGATATTTCCTATTTCCTTCCTCAATGTAGACATACAGAGATATGACTGTCAGCAAGGACATAGGGGTTTTGTTCTCAGATTAATAAAAATGATCATGGTCTATTAGTCTGTTTATTACCAAGGGAAGAAGTGGCCACATGGTAATATCAAGGGTTGAGTTCCACTGTGGGGACCATCCTAAAGGTCCCAACTGTTCAGTTAATAGCCCCAACTGTTCAGTTCACCTCATTTGCTTTGTCTGGATGACTGATAGATGCCTGACACCTGGTGTCACCCTTAGTGAAACCCATCCCCTATACTCACAATTTGATCCTAGTAACACTGGAGATGAACCTCTTGATGAAACTTTTATTCTGTAAGTAACTCAGCATTCAATGAGTTACTCACAGAATAAAAGGGGACACTATCTGTCAGTAACTGTACATGGAAAAGACATGTAAAGGGATGGCACACATGGGAAAGTAACTTATTCAGAAGTGAAATTAATTGAGGAAATTTTTCTAAAGGTAATGAGACTTCCCTATAGACTGAATAATAATCCAACTGCATTTATTTTTAAAGACTCCTATAAACTGTAACCCTGGTGATTTGCATCAACCTATTAACATCAATGTCTAGTAATTATCCAGCAGAAAAACTTAATATATGTTAAATATATGTCAAATTAATTTTTTGTTTCATTTAACACAACAGCAATCTCAATTCACATATGTTCAGTCTTGTTAATCTACAGCTGCTATTACATGATTCTGTGCTCACAACTCTAAAAAGAAGTGGAAAGTTAATTTTAAGACATCTAAATTAAGCATGTCTGTTAAGAAGACACCAACTCAAAAGGAGAAGGTTGTGCTAAGGCACCCAAAGGTTTGCATTATTCCTTGCACTGACCCATGTTATTCCCTATTCAGACTGACCTCTTTGGGTGCACTATGCCCCCAAATGATGATATCCGAAAAGCTTAAGAGATGGACAAGATACTGTTAACAAGGAGGAACACCCTGGGATTAGGGATTCCATAATTTAATTTATGGATTGTACCTAACATGCTAACCCAAGAATAAGGAAACAACACTGGTTACATAAGTTTAAATACTTACACATACTGATAGAGTGGTGATTGGCAAGTGAAGCTATGAGAGAAGAGGCTATGCCTGGTCCTACTGGGCAACTGAGTTCCAACTTCATCTCCTCCTGGCAACAAAATCGAAAAACACAAAGAAAGCTGACTTATGGTTAAACAATTTTACATCATATCAGTTAGCATATTTTCTGTTGAAAATAGGTAAAGGCCAGCTAAAATTGGCTTAAATAGTGACTTTTATTATATCACAAAACAAGAAATCCAGAGGTCAAGTGGCCCCAAGACAAGCTCTCTTGCTAATTCACCATCTTTCCATCTTTCCCCTCTGCCAGCATAAGTGAACTGCTTGTCCTCTGAGGCTGGCTCTCTACCAGGTGCTAAGATGGTCTCTGTATTCAAAGAATCACATGAAGGTGACAGTAGTGGCAGAGGTGTTTTCTTTCCAGCATAAATCTTACATGGAAGCCCCCCAAAACCAAAGGCTTGTTGGCCCAAACTGTATCACAAACTTGTGTCTAAATCAACCAGCGGAAAGGTAGTAGTGAAAATGTCTAGTTAGACTATTCAAAATTCACCTCCTCAGGAAAAGAAGCTACAATTGCTGGTGGGGCTACAAATTTGTTCAACCACTATGGAAGGCATTATGGAGTTTCCTCAGAAACTTGGAATGGAACCACCATTTGATCCAGTTATCCCACTCCTTGGCATACACCCAAAGGATTTGAAATCAGAGTACTATAGTAATATGGCCATATCAATGTTTACAGCAGCACAATTCAAAATAGCTAAGCTATGGAACCAACCTAGGTGTCCTTAAACAGATGAATTGATCAAGAAATGTGGTTGGTCTGGGGATGTGGCTCAAGAGTAACGTGCTTGCCTGGCATGCGTGGGGCGCTGGGTTTAATCGTCAGCATCACATAAAAAGATGTTGTATCCACCAAAAACTAAAAATTAAATATTAAAAAATTTTCTCTCTCTCTCTCTCTCTCAAAAAAAAAAGGTGGTATACATTCACAATGGAATATTACTCAGCCATAAAGAAAACTGAAATTATAGCATTTTCCAGTAAATGGATGGAATTGGAAACTATCAGGCTAAGTGAAATAAGACAATCCCAAAAGGCCAAATGTTCTCTCTAATATGTGGATGCTAACATACAATAAGGCAGGGAGGAAGAATAGAAGTTCATTGGATTAGACAAAGGGAAATGAAGGGAAGATAGAGGGGATGGGAATAGGAAACACACTGGAATGAATCAGACATACCTTTCCTACATTCACATGTGAATACATGACCAGTGTAACTCCATAGCATGTTCAACCGCAAGAATGGGATGTTAATTAGAATAAGTTATACTCCATGTATGTATATCAAAATATAGTCTACTGTCATGTATATCCAAAAAGAACAAAATTTTAAACTGATACAAAAAAAGATCCACCTCCTCTCAGGCTGAGGGAAATCCCACCTTCCCCTGAAGCACATAAGAAAACAGTTCTAGCAAAAAACTCGATTGGTGAGAATGACAGGGGAGTAGACAGCCCAAAGTGTCTATCACATACACCTAATAAGAATAGAACGAGCTCAGCTCACTACACCATGGCTCATTCATAGAGCTGATGCTGGAAGCTTGTCATGTGCCTAATATTAGCCATTGTTGTTAGAGCAGTGTGTCTATATAGAAACCTGGGAAGCTATGAATCTCTTTTTAAAAGTCACTTAGTGATTATAATACATGCACAAATCATTGCTAAATCTATATAGTCTACACGAACCCAGAATAGATATTTTCTTTTTTATTGAAAAATCAAGGGTTCCTTTACTGGAAATTCAAGTTTCAATGAGCTTCCAGTAACAGTTTCACCTTCCAGATGTGCATTTGTGATAAGTTTATATTAACTGGGCTCAATTTATCTAATGAGCTACTAAAGTGGTCAATTGTTTATTCAAATTGGAAATTGTGGCTGTATTAAAAAGTAGAGTATTAAAATATCACCAAAATACATTCAGACATACATTGTTTTATTTTTCTAGATTCTTTATGTATTACATGACCATATCTGATATGGAAAATAGATAAAATAATGCTTGTTAAATGTGTGTTCTTTTCTAATAAGAAATAATACAATTGACATACTTTACTATGTTTAAAGGATATCAGGAGAGATAATGTGGTACTACTATAAAAATCAAAATGAGGAAAGAGATATGAATAATAATTCCAAAAGCATGTATACTGAGTACTCATTATATACCAGGCTCTGAGCTGTTTCACCTGTAATCTTTGTGTTTAATCCTTCCAATAACTCTGTAAACTATGCACCCATTTTCAGATATGGAAATTCATGCACAGAGAAAGGATATAACTTACACTAGGCTGTCCAGTTGATAAGTGGAAGGGGCAGGATTCCAACCTATGGCTTCAGATCCAAAGCATTTAACCAAGATGCAAGTGCTCCAGTTGCTTAAATTTGTTGGGGCCTCAGTTTCCTAGTGAGTTAAACAAAGAATATGAGTAGAGATATTTAAGAATATTTCTAATCCTAACACTTAAAATGAAAGCTATGTCCTTACAGACATCCTCCTCTGCCAAATGGTGTATATTACGATGATATTTATCACACAACTAAAATCAATATCTAGACTTTCTGGTAACAACTACAAGGTGATCCAGGAG